CAAGGGGTGGATGTCAACAGAGAAGTCCTTTCAAGGAATCAGACTTACCCTGCTCACCTCTCTAGCTTCAACAGCACAACGTCTGCTTCGATATCAAAGCACCCCTGAAATAACGGGTCACAAGAGTGTGACAAACATACAAAAGAAGTAGAGGAAAATGACAATAGTAAGGATTAGGAAAAAAAGGCAGCAGTTCCCTGTTGTAGTTCAGGCACAGTTATGAGCATGACATTGTTGGATCAGCCCATTTACTATTCTACTGTGCATTAGAACGAGAAATGTCCCCCCTTTGAGAACGGCCTAAAGACACTTCAGTCAGTTGCACCGCCCGGGGCGGGGGGTAGACAACTATCTGATTCTGTAACCCACTGCAGATGCCAAATATAAACAAGCACGTCTGAGAATGGTCCACGTGGGATTTGAACGATATTCGTCCGCACAGCAGCCTTCAAGGATAATAAGTGAGAGGCAAGGTCTTGAATAAGCCTACAAGTATAAGAAAAGACCCTCGTCGCTTAAAAGCTAGATCTGTAGATATCGATAGAAAGCAACACGTAAGTTGATGAACGAAGGAAAGATTATAAGGAAGAAAAAGAATAAAATACCCACTCACCTCAGTTTACTTCAATGGAAAGTGAATGGATTTTTGTTGTTTTCGTCCAGTATAGAATAGATGGACTCCAGGCTGTAATTGTAGCGAACAGGGGAAGTGTACAACCAGACGGCACTTCGCCCGGATGCGCGTATCTGGGTCACCAGCTGATCGTGGAGAAACGCGCGGTAAACAAAACAAACTGCGTCCATTGTTCAAGGCATTTTCGTTGATCGCAGACAAGCATGGCCATGGTTAGCACGAAGTGTTCTGATAACTGCACGTATTAAAATCAAAATCTGAGTTTCTTTCGATTTCCGAAGGATGACGAATATATTTTGATGAATAGAAAAATATAGATCAAAACAATGACAATATGATTGTTGTCCTGCCAGACTGATACTCCATTCACAAACTCAACACACTTCAACTTTGTTATATCAGCTATAAATTGTTGTTGTTTTTTTCCTGTCTAAATGCCCAAATGGAGCTTGCATTCTACTAGTGAAAGATATGTCTAAAAGTTGTCTAAATACAAAGTGCCGTCGATCGATTTTGGTACTTTCTTTGTCCGATTACCTCTTTTTTTT